GAAAAAAAAAAAAAAAAAAAATTAACGCGGAAAAAAAAATCTAGTTCAGAATTATAAATAGCACAAATTGCAAAACTGAAGCTTTGAAACATGGAATAAAAAGATTTTGTTACAGCCCAGAACTACACACAGCTATAAAACAATGACGATAAAATATTCTTTATTTCTTCATTTACATTATAAAGTAATTCTAAAGAACTGCTTTTCTATTCAACAAAAGCTCAAGATAATAAAAATAAACAAGGAAAAATGCTGTTCCTTTATAGTCTATTTTTTTTCAAAATCAGAATTCATTATACCTTTATTATAATCATGCTTGTTTGTCAAAGGAAAGTCCAAGGACCAAATACTTAAGGCTTCATGAGGGCTGTTGAGGGGAGGCAAACCAACAGTGAGTCAAGACAAACCGACCCACCAGCACACACACACACACACACACCCCATCCACCATCACACACATGCCCATACACAGCTGCGCTCATCACATGCACACCAAATAAATCTGTGAACCCATATCCTTATACAGCCACATTCATACAGAGTTATTACACTTCTTTAAAGTTACAGCAGTACAGTAGATAAGCCAGTGTACAATAAAATAAGCAATTCACCTGCTGTTTCACCTTTTTGACTTTTTTTCTTTTAAAAAGTCTTCAATTTAACCACAAATGATCTTGCAAGTGATCAATTTGGTCAATTCAAGCACACTTCACAAAAGAATCAGTAGCAACTACTTTACATTATTATAAAGGATGAACTAGAAAACGCAGGATCATAAACCCTAGATTTGGTACATAGTTAGCTTCTACATCATAATATTAGCAACAAGCCTACAGACACCACCTTCAGTAGTATGTTTAGTCTCGCAAACCCACTTACAGCTATACCACATATGACCCACCTGAAACTGCACAACTCATCTATACAATTCAAGTAGTAGTTTCTCATATGTTAAGAAATAAAGGGAGTATAATGATCAGGTAAAACAAAAATGGCACAGCTTTAACATTAAAACATCTGTAGCTTTTCTCCTTTGGCCTTACCAGCGTTAAAGAGAAAAGACAGAATCTTTCACAATCATTATACAAAACTTCACTCACATTAGTGACTCAGAATGCAAAATGACACCTGATTTGTTGCATCACTGAAAGACTGTAAAAGAGGTTTTATACATGTATGCGGTTCCTGTCATTTAAGTTTCCTGCTGCTCACAAAGCATCTAGCAAAACGAGTTGATGTTTCAACCTTTCACAAGCCTAAAGCAGTTCAAATTTCACACATAAATCCATAAAGCCCATAACAAATCCATTTGATTTCTAAACATTTAGAAAAACAGGTGCCCTGTGTTACAGGAACACATGACAAGAGCTTTCACCTAGGAACAGTCTGAAGGGATCAGTGACTGGCATATTCCTGCATAGCTCAGACACTGAAGAAAGAAAGAAAGGGCGAAGAATGTGTCATGCTGAAGAGGGAAGTGCTCAGAGTCTGTCAGCCATTTTGATGTTATAAGACAAGCTCAAAACGAAGATCTCTCAAATGAAAGCATGTCGGTTGTCCAATGAACAGAAGGCCTGGTGCCCTCAGTTTAGAAGTGATCTATTTCACAAGACACCTTTAATAAAGTAAGCACTAACACAAGAAAGACGTTCATAAATAACCCAGGAGCACTTGAGATCTGGGCACCTAGAGATAGACATGACAGAATTGGAAGAAAAAACAAAACAAAACAAAATTCCCTTTAGTGCCTTAAAGCACTTGTTAAAAGAAAAAAAAAATTGATCACTTGCAAGATTAATAACACAAAACTCTGCTCTTCCTTAGACATATTTGTATTGTTGTTTTTTCTTTGTTTTCATCAACAATCATCCATGAGGTTTTGAGCTCATTTAGTTCCTCTTGTAATGTAATTTCATTAAGACTAACAGGAGGTGTCGAGGACACGCGCGTGTGTGGCTGACTTCACTGAGGAGAGACTGTGTCTGAGGCTTGTGGGCTGAAGCTTATCTGTACCCTGGGTGCTGGCCTTGCGTCTCGGAGTGGGGGACCACTACCCGGCCCATAGGGGGTGGCCTGTGCATTTTCCCCATCAGGATGAGATTCTGATCTCGGAAGCAGGGCATCTGGAAGTCCCCTCCCATGCAATCTGCCGTTTGCATCAGATTAGGCTGCCCTATTAAGGCACCTCCTACTAATCGGTAATGGGCCGCTCCTCCCGTGGGGGCACAGTCCATCGCTGGGGTGGGGTTGGTATTGCCTGTGCCAGTGCCATGGAAGGGCACCGGGAGGTCCTGTGAGCCGGAACTGTCGCTGTTCGGCGTGGGAAGAAAACTACCCCACA